ACAGTAACACTTGGCTCTTGTTTTCAAGTTGCTTCGAGATCACTTTGAGGTTTGTACAGTTTTTATTTGCATGTTCGATCGTTTAATAATGGAGTACCGTAGAAATTTGCCGGATCGTTCGTTTTATTGACGCTTTGGGATCCAATTTCGGCTACGCGATGCTTGTTGATCTATTCGGGAGCTACACCCGTCAAAGTGTCTCCTTAATCGGGGTGGCGCTGCTCGTGTTGATTCGGTGGGTGACTATGTCGGTGCGTCCCAATTCCGCTTTAAACGATTTTTCATAGCTGGTTTCTTTCTAACTGAAGTGCCGGTCCTACGGCGAACAAGAGTTGGTCTACTTTATCCGTTTTACGTCGCGTCTTGGTAGTGCACCCAGTCATTCTTGTACGGGCTTTATGGGCCGTTAGGTCGTATGGTACGCGTTCGCCATTGATGTATAATGAGCTCTGTGTCGTATTTACGATGCATGCGTGGTGGGTGAGGAAATCGATTCCTGCGTCCCACGGTAGGCCGTGTACCACCATCGCTTCGTGGGTCAGAGTCTGCGTGCCTATTTGAAAGGTTACTAGAGTGGAGCCTGATGTCACTATCTTTGTGTTGTTTGCTGCCCAGAGTTGTCTTGTTGGTGTGAGTTGCTGGAGAATAGTAGGGGCGTCTCGGACTAAGGTTACTGCTGACTCCGTATCCACCAACATTCTACCATTATCACCGTTAATACTCCCTATGATTGTAGGTAATGAGACCAGTGGCATGGAACAGACAATGGGTAAATAAGCATCTTGGTGTGACTCACTTGAACTGGGGCCTACTGCGTTTTCCCAAGCAACCCAAGGCCCTCCACAACGATCTCGCGGCTGACGTTGGCGTCCAGCGTATTGTATAGGGTCGTTGGCTGCGGTCGGGCGGTGAATTGATTAGGGCGTTCAGGTGATGAGGGGCGTCGGTGGCCACGGGTGGTTCTTCCAGCAAGGTGGCACGTTCAACCGCCTCTTTATTTGGGTGGTCGTTAGGCGAACGAATTCTGGACAGCTTCTGAACGTACGCCGTCGGCGAATCGAAGCATCAGTTCTCGAAATGCAGCCTCACATTCAGGGAATTCCAGCGCAGCTAATTTCCATAGTTCTGCTGCGAATCGTTGGGCCGTTTCATCGGTTTCTTGTGTACGATAGCCGAAGGCGTCTCGACCTTGCTTTTTTCGCCGGCGAGGGACTAGAATGGATCGTATTATGTCAAAGGTTTCGTCCGAGACGTCTTCAGGGACTTCTTCGTGAATCTGGTCGTACACTGCTTAGTCCACTAGGGACAACAGTATGTACTGCCGTTTACTGGGCTCCCACATACGCAGGTATCGCCGGACTTGGGATTCCCACCAGTCATAGTCATCACCGATGTGGAATTTCGGAGGCGCCGCGATCTACTTCGCGGCCACGTTTTCCGTCACCAAGCGTAACGCCGACAGCACCTGGAGGAGCACCGAATTGGTATCGGCCTAATATTCTTCTCTGGATGCGGACGGTTCACCAATTTTCGGCATAATTTTCATCATCCCACCGCTGCCACCAATTTCGTAGCTACCACAGAGGGGGAGAGATCAACCGCTGGTCGATTATTTGAAATGAGAGGACCAGGAGTTTGACAACAGCAACAATTCACCAGCTTCAACCAGTCAGGCGCGTACATGGATGGTGGTAGGAAGAAGATGGCGAAGAGGCGGAAAATGTTTATTGCACGTGTCCACAATAATGTACAACCGGAAGTCAAAGATAGGGGGGAGTCGGTTCACATATATATAGGTGAGTGAGGGTCAAGGTCACAGGGGGTTACGTAACGGGTGGTTCACGCTCTTCGAATTCTCTATCTCATCCATTTGCTCTTGAGTGATGGCGTCTGGAAACAGAGGGAGAGAGAGGGACACAGTTAGGTATGGTGAACATTCATTACACAAGTTCAACCGAGCTGTCCAAGCACTATGTCCCGCGGCGAACGTTGAAAACGCTATGTTGCAACGTTTAAACAAACAGGAAATTACAAACAGCAAAGAGTGGAAATGACAGGGAACAAACAGTAATAAGGAAGAATAGAACATCTTTCGTTTTAATTACGTTGCATTAACTGCCGTAACAGTTTCGGCGGTCGAAAGAATCCTTATGCAGTTCGGAAGCAATTCGGTTAGGTGATTTTCGGACCTGCAATTTTCGCCAAGTATGAAATGAAATCAATTAACTGCCTGGCTGAAGAAGACTCAAATTTAATACATCAGGTAATGGGAATGTACGATGCAGAATTTACAGTCGCCCACTTAATATAAATAATTAAAAACCCAATCCGTCCACGGTTATGCCCTAAAGCCCCTCGTTCCTTGGTTCCTCAAAATTTCGAACTGTATGGACATTTGCATCCTTTTATTTATAATCCATTGCGCGTCTCTCCTCGTATAAATCTGCTCCTCTCCAGCTCCATTGCAGTCTTTTTCCAATATCCCACATGTTTCATCTTCGCTATATGCCTGCTCCTGAACTCGTTTCATCTGGTTTTCTCTTAAACGGCTTTCTCAATCTGTGGGTCTTGCCAAATTTTTTCCATAAGACAAACTCTCATTTGCTCGTGTCCATAACAATTCACCCTCTGTGTTACATATTATGACCTTTGTCCATCTTGTGTTCCGTTTTCACGGAAAACAGCACATTTATGGTATCTTCTATATCAGCTTGCAAACTCTGTACTATCACTTACTGTCCCCATTGTAATTTTATATTATTGTACATTTGATCATGCGCACAAGCATGCTTCACGGGCTTCGTGAAATATACCATTATTATTATGATTATTATTATTAGATCAAGGCATTTTCGTAGACGATACGGAAGCTATCCCTATTGTGGAGTCCGATACAATGTTCGTCGATGAGCACTTCGTGGTCCCTCTGCCATGGAAGAAGGGTGTCAATACCGATGTGGGAAATTATGCGTCAGCGCTCTCGAGGTTGAATAGCCTGAAGCGGCGCTTAATTAATGACGAGGCGCTACGGTTCCGTTACGCACAAACGATGAAGATGACTGTAGAGAAGGGATATGCCGTGCCAGTCCCAGGGCAACAGTTACACTGCGACTTTCATCCGAGTTGGTACCTGCCTCATCATGCAGTACTGAACCCAAAAAAGCCGGAAAAGCTGTGTATAGTTTTGGATTGTGCGGCCAAACACAAGAAGCAATCGTTAAATGACATGCTCTATCACGGTCCAGACACCACCGCGAATTTAGTGGGTATAATTTGCGATTTCGTAAAGAACCTGTAGTTGTTGCAGCTGACATGGAAGAGATCTTTATGCAAGTGAAGGTGCCAAAACATGATAGAGACGCTTTGAGGTTTCTCTGGTGGCCACAGGGTGACTCACTCAGGGATTCCGAGGAATATCAAATGACAGCTCACCCGTTTGGTGCAACTTCTTCACCGTTTTGTGCTAATTTTGCCTTGAACAGGGCTGCAAGAGAATTCGGTAGTGGTTATAGGTGTGCGGTGCTAGAAGCCATTGAAGAAAACTTCCACGTTGATAACTGTCTTGCATCGTTCACGACATGTGATTAAGACTTACGTTTTGCGAAGGAAATAACGGGCCCATTGGGAAGAGGTGGCTTTAAACTGAGAAGGTGGTCACCTAATTCACCCTAACTTGCAGAATCCCTCTCGGAAGACAGCACGGGTATCAACTTGGTTCAACTGCCTCAATTTGATTTCAGTTGTTAGAGAGCTTTGGGCGTGCAGTGGGCCATAGCAAGAGATGTTATTACGTTCCAGTTCCAGATAATAGATAAACCAGTGACAAGAAGAGGTATATTATCCAGCGTCAGTTCGTGGTTTGACCCGCTAGGTCTGGTAGCCCCTCTATGCCTCGAAGCAAAGCAGTTGCTGCAAACAGTGTGCAAATCCAAAATGGGTTGGTACAAACCCCTCAATGCTGTAGATGCCAGTATTTGGGAAAGCTGGATACGCTTTGTTTTGTGTCTAGAAGTGATTAAGATCCCCAGAAGTATAAGAAACGAAGATTGGGGAGAAGAGAGAACAGAGTTGCATGTTTTCTGTGATGCGTACGAGAAAGGTTATGGGGCCGTCGCCTACGCGTGGTGAGTTCCAGCAAGAAAACCAGCTTACAGCGTTTTGCTACTCAGTAAGTCTACAGTGGTACCTATAAAACTCGTAACCATACCGCGACTGGAACTGCCTGCAACAGTCATCGGAATCAAGAAAAGAGAGTTGATAAAAAAGGTACAATCGGAGATGTTCAGCGCG